TAACTCCAAAGAAATATGGGACGTGGCGTATGTGTGTGGATAGTCGTGCTCTTAACCAAATTACCATCAAATACTGATTTCCCATCCCAAGAATTGATGACATGTTCGACATGTTTACCGGTGCTAAGGTGTTCTCCAAGATTGATCTTAGAAGTGGCTCCCATCAAATTCGTATCAAGCCGGGTGATGAATGGAAGACCGCCTTTAAGACTCGTGAAAGCTTATATGAATGGCTTGTCATGCCATTTGGCCTTTCCAATGCTCCAAGCACTTTCATGAGGGTAATGAATCAAGTGCTTCGACCTTTCATTGGTAAATTTGTTGTTGTTTACTTTAATGATATTCTTATTTATAGTCATGATCAAAGTAAGCATATGGAGCATTTGAGGGCTGTTCTAACCACTTTGAGAGGAGAAAAAATGTATGTAAACCTCAAAAAGTGTTCTTTCATGACAAATAGCCTAGCTTTCCTAGGCTTTGTTTTGACTTCTATAGGGATAAAGGTGGATGAAGAAAAGATCAAAGCTGTCCAAAGTTGGCCTACACCAAAAAGCTTACAAGAAGTGAGGAGTTTCCATGGATTTGCTTCATTTTATCGCCGATTCATAAGGAATTTTAGCACTGTTTTAGCCCCTTTGACTGATTGCAAGTGGACAATTGAGGCAGAAAAAAGTTTCCAGCTTGTTAAAGAAAAACTATCCAGCGCACCCATTCTTGCTTTGCCGGACTTCGAAAAAATCTTTGAAGTTGATTGTGATGCCTCTCATGTGAGCATTGGTGGGGTACTTAGCCAAGAAGGTCATCCGATTGCCTTCTTTAGTGAAAAACTCAATAAAGCTAGGAAGAAATACTCTGTTTATGATGTGGAATTTTTTTTCATTGTTCAAGCACTTCGGTATTAGAGGTCTTATCTAATTCTAAGGAAGTTTATTTTAATTTTGATCATGAAGCTCTCAAGTACATCAACCACCAAGGAAGTTTGAACCGAAGACATGCTAAGTGGGTTTCTTTCTTACAAGAGTACACTTTTGTGTTGAGACATAAAAGTGGCAAATGTTACAAAGTGGCAGACGCTCTTAGTAGAATAGCGGTACTTCTAAACTTCATAAGTGTTCAACTCGAAGGGTTTGATGCCATTAGAGACATGTATACTAAAGATGAAGATTTTGGTGAAATTTGGAAACTTTGTAAAGAAGGGCGACACGAAGACTATCTATTCCAAGATGATTTTCTCTTTAAAGGAGCTCCCTTGTGCATTCCAAAATGCTTACTTAGAGAGTATATCATTAAAGAACTTCATTCGGGAGGCTTGGGAGGACATTTTGGGAGAGACAAAACCATCTTGCTCGTGAAGGAAAAATATTTTTGGCCTACCATTTATTGAGATGTGACCCATTATGTGAAGAGATGCTGAGTATGCCAAACTTGTAAAGGGCAAACACAAAATACTGGTGCTTACACTCCATTACCACTTCCTAAGGCTCCATGGGAAGATGTGAGTATGGATTTTGTGGTGGGTTTACCAACAACACAAAGAGGTAATGACTCCATTTTTGTGGTTGTTGATCGATTCTCTAAAATGGCTCATTTTATTCCTTGCAAGAAGACTATGGACGCCTCTTATGTTGCCAATCTTTATTTTAATGAAGTGGTTAAACATCATGGTGTTCCCAAGTCCATTGTTTCGGATAGGGATACCAAATTCCTTAGTCATTTTTGGAGGTGTTTGTGGAAGAGGACTGGTACTAGTTTGCTTTATAGTAGTGTATATCATCCTGAAACGGATGGACAAACTGAAGTGGTGAATAGAACCTTGGGGAATTTTCTTAGAGGGCTGGCAGCAAAGAGACCCAAGCAATGCGACATGTTTCTTCCTCAAGCTGAATTTGCCTATAATTATGTGGTGAATCGTTCTACTGGAAAGAGTCCATTTGAGGTGGTTTATGGGCAAACTCCAAGACACTACCTTGACCTTGCACCAATTCCTAATCCCTCTTTACCTAATAAGAGGGTTGAGGATTTTGCTACATCCATGGCAAGAGTTCATGAAGAAGTGAGAAAGAAACTTAAAGAAAGTAATGAGAAGTACAAGGAAGCTGCTAATGTTCATCGGCGAATGAAAATTTTCAAGGAAGGAGATCTTGTATGGGTTTACTTAAAAAAAATAAAGATGTTCAGCCGGGTCTTACAACAAGCTCAAAGAGAAGAAGGTTAGTCCATGTCGGGTTCTTAAGAAAATCAATGACAATGCTTACAAGGTTGAACTTCCCCCCAATATTCATACCCATCCTACTTTCAATGTTCGAGATTTGTCGGAATATCATGGAGAGCTGGTTGCAAACTCGTGGACGAGTTCTTTCTCACCTGGGGAGGATGATGCAGTGCCTACTTGGCAGCCTTGTCAACAACATGCGGATGCTTAAGTGGCTAATTGGAAGATCATGAGATGTCTTGGAAAACGAGTTCTCCTTAACAACTTAAATTTATTTTCTGTATTTTGGGTATTGGAAGGTGTGTTTAATTTAAGGTTGTCAATCTTGAGTCTTGTGTTTTGAGTTGGGAGTTGAAGCCTCATCAATGTAGTGTTGAAGCTGAAGTCTTATATTTATATGTGCTGGGAGTGAAGAAGAAGCTACAGAACTAGAATTTATATTTTGTAATGAAATTATAAAGCATAGCTCTTTGTTTATCCAACTCCTTTCTTAGTTGTGTTTTATTGTTTCATAATTTTTCTTCTTCCTTCTCATCCAACCACGTCACTAACTTAAACCATCAACCATGAAATTTAAATTTAGCACGCGTATATATATATATATATGTGTGTGTGTGTGTGTGTGTGTGTGTGTGTGTTCAAGTATGAGGCAGTTATTTTGTGACAAAGATTAGAGATGTATCCAATCTCCATCCAATCCACTCCACGAACCCTAATATAGTGGCCGAACACATTATGAATGGTCTTAAAGAAATACGTAAACACCCACACTATGTATTCGTGAAAGTATATTTGTGATGTGTATCATGAAAACTGTGACACTCTAGTTGCCACAATTTTCTTCTCTTTTTACTTTTACATTTTTATTTCTTTCGTTGGATCATGTTAAAGAGATAAAGTAGATAAATATATTTAGGAATGCATATCTTCATATATATGTCTGGGAGGGAGAAAATATGATATGCATGTGCATATGAAGAGATAGAAAGAACCGGTTTTTTAAGAGTAACGGATTATTACTGCATGAATATAATCATGCTATCAATTTGTTCTGAAACCACTAAATTAAACTATAGTATTAAAAATCATAAAAATAAAACTATGTTATTAAGAAAAAAAAAAATTTGTATTGAATCATTCTTTGTCCACTTTTCTATTCCGTTTTGGTCTGTTTGGTTAGACGGAATTTTATAATGGAAAGTGAAAGTAAAAGAAAGTGAAGTGAAAGAAAGGAAAATCAAGTTTCTTGTATGCATTTGGTTAACAAGAAAAAATTTCAAGAAAGTTAGGGAAAATATTATTTTATTAGTTTGGATAACATGAAAGGGAAAAGAAAATGATTTACTTACCAAAACTACCCTCATGATTTAAAATATTAAAAAATACATTAATTTTGTGTTGGATGAATCATTGTTATACCCAATTATTTATATTAATTTTTAGCAATTAAATATTAAATAATGAATTAATAATAATTATTATTATTATGTATATTCATATTTAAATTAGACAAAGTAAGAAGGACTACATTTTAGTTGTCAGATTCTTTTTTATTTTTTATTTTTAATAATAATTATTTATATTTATATGTAGAATATAATTCACTTATCATAACATACTCATGTTTTATCATAAAAAATGGATTATTAATTATTATTATTATTTATATTCATATTTAAATTAGAAAAACTAAGGAGGATTGCATTTTAGTTGCCAGATTTTTTTATTTTGTGTTTTCAATAATAATTATTTATATTTATATGTTGAATATAGTTCATTTATGATAACATACTCATATTTTATTGAATTATTAAATATATCTTTTTTTAAGCCCCCTCCAAGAAACATTAAATGGCAACTCTATGATAAAAATTGTCATGCAAAAGTAACATATTTTATAATTCATGCATAATAATTTTATGATTCTTGCATAATTTATCAGTCCCTTTTCATATTTTTTATGAATATGAATCACTTCGATGCAAATTTTTCTGTGCAAAAATCACACAGTATAAAACGTTATTCAATTCAAAGCTGTATGGATAGTAAAAAATAAATATTATATTGATTTTCATCCATGTAAAATTGTTATGTCATATAAATAATATGATAACTCAAATTAATGTCTTCTCATAATTCTATTGAGATATTGATAAAAATTAAAAGCTATATTATTTACTATTCTACCCTTCAACTCTTAATTTATTTCCAAAAATTTTAGGTAACGATGTATGGGATATAATCAAATTATGTGTCCCAATATATAATAATTGCTGAAATATCTTCTAAGTCTGAATTTAATAACCACTATATTTGTTATGTAAAAAAAAAAAATGGAGAAACAACCGAGCATAACAGGAATTTTGGAAATAAAGTGACAGTTTTGTGCGAGAAAATTAACTTTATTGTGTTTTGTGCGGGGAAATATTTTGGAAAAATTTATCAATATGAGAATCTCACTTTTTCAAAAAATTTTACTTTCCAGGTAACCAAACTCTCAAAAATTAAATTTCTTTTCCGTTTCTTTTGCTTTCTACCTACTTCACGGTAACCAAACCAACCATTTGAGAATTTCACTTTTTCAAAATTCACTCTGTTTTGAACTCTCAAAAACAATGAGAATTTACGTCGCCATATATTTAAATATCTATATATATATATATATATATATATTTTTTGGTCTAAGAGATAGCCATGCATCATTCAAAATCCAACTCATGAAATTTATTATTCATGATGTGTATTAGTGCTTAACTAATTAAACCACATTGAAAGAACAGCTTAACTAATTGAATTTTGACATTCATTACCACAAATGCAAATTACATATGAACCCAAAAAAGAAAAGCTAGAGAAAAGACATTACCAATACAAGAGGAAGACCACTTGCTTTGACACTGACATGGGGGACATATACATCACAAAAGTAATAATAATTGCCTTAATTTAAATGCATGATATATATATATAGACACACACACACATGCAATACTAACTAAGTACAGCATGCACTCTCTCTTGAACTTCAATCATGCTTTGATCATGATCTCCTTAGGCACATTAATATTCTCATCTCCAATCAATTCGTGTCCAATATTAGAATTCAGTTTCTCTTCCACAGTAGCCATCTCTGAACTCACCATAGCACTCAGCTTCACAACATCAATGATTTGTTCTGCTAATTCATGAAGCTTGTGATCTTGTTCCAAAACTATAATTTGGTTTTTGATTTCAGGAAGCTTTTGATCATTTTCGACAACTTTCTTTGCGTCCTTGTACATTACATATAGTATCATTTGAAGAATACCAAAGGTGAATCCCAAGACATTTGGAATCTATATATCAAAGAAAAAAAATAAGATAATTAGATTTAAACAAAAAGAAATATATAAACAATAGGAAGAGGGCAGTGTTTAATTAATTAATTACACTTACAGCAATGTTAAAGTCTTTGATTAGTAGACCATAGAAGAACCACATGACTGCACTTAGTGTGAGGAAAAAAGATAGAAGAAATGGCATGTACTCTACGCTTTTCGTTCGAATAACTTGTCTCTGAAACATGGAAGATATTATGGATATGAAATTATATAAAAAGCTAGCTAGTGGAGCTAGAAGAAATTAACATTTTATTGTAGTTGAAACCTATACATGTTGATTTTTGGCTCCTACTCACCACAATGCACAAAGGCGCGATAAATACGCACAAAGAAAACACTAGGCAGATCCATCCAACAATGATGGCACAGGTCGGGCCTTTTGCAAGAAAGTGAGTGAGAAGAAGGATCAAACCGAACCCGACAACATTCAGTAAAACCACCAGCTGCACAGTTTGAACCTGCATTTTGAGCCAATTGAGTGGGGAAAAAAGGGTGAGTGTGTTTGCTTTACCATTCGAGAGGAAAAAAAAACAAAAAAACTTTGTTACCTAAGGAACTGTCAACCAAACAAATTTTTGAACAATATTTACAAAAAGTAGGTGTTCAAAAGTATTGAACCAATTAAGGTCTTAGTGTTAATTTCTTGAACATACCTTAGCCTTCTTCGGTGCATAAAAGAGGTAGAAGCAAATGTATATAGTCTCAATGAAGCATCCAACAGAGTTGATGGTGATGAGAAGGGTAGCATTGGACTTGAGGAAAGCATAGTATATCCACAGCATGGCACTGAACAAAGCAACCACATAAGGAACTGATTGGAACCCTTCAGTTGATTTCTTCTTGTAGACTTTATAAAAAGTTGGTCTGTCATAAATAAAATTCAGAATTTTATTCATGTTAATTAATTTTATATTATCATCAAAGCTCATTAATTAATCAGATAAATGGCTTCAAATTAACCCGTAAAAATACTTACAGTGGGGCAAGATAAACCATGAACGAGACCACGTTACCTATAATATCAGTTGCAAAAAGAAATAAAAAGAAAAATTATTAAGCTTTTATCAACTTTTCAGTAATGGAAGTTTCAATATTTTACTTGAAATAAGTCAAGAGAAAAGCTAAAAGTAATTCTAGACTTCTGCATGCAATTGCTGATGCATTATATATATATATATATATATATATATATATATATATATCACGTATTCTATGTTAGTGGGGTTCATGAGTACTCTCATATGAACTCAAGTCATCTTTCATATGATCAATTAAGCTTAAGTGCTCACACCAACACTCTTGACTTATATGAAGAAGAAGATTAATGAAAAGACTTTAGAAAAACAAAAATGTTGACATAACACTAAATAAATTTATACCTAGAAGTCCAAATGCAAAAGCCAAATGAGCAGAGAACAAAGCCATATATCTCTTTAGCTATCACAATATATAACTCTCTCTCTCTCACTCAAACAAACACTTTCTTGTGTTCCCGAGTAGATCAGAGCACTAGCTATATCACTCTCAAGCACACCTATTGAATACTAGGAGCCTCCCTATTTATATAGAGATTGGGTGGGACATTGTGACCAAGTTTGGTTTCATGCAAGGAGGGAGAGAGAGAGAGAGAGAGAGAGAGAGAGAGAGAGAGAGAGAGAGGATGAATGTAACAATTGGTGGTAAAATTGAACATGTTATGTATGATTCTTTACAGCTGTTTTCAAGATTGTGGTAACATTTTTATTGTCACAATCCCAACAGCTTTCCTCCCCTAATGCTCCAATTACCCACTTTTGGATGGCTTCTTTAAGAGCAAAACACCTATTCAACAGCCTTTTTCTTTTTTTCTTTTTTCTTTTTTTTGAAAGTTTAAGCAAATTGTACATGCAGACCATAATTTTTTAAAAAAACATGCAATTAATGTATTCTCCTTTTATATTTGTCAAGTTAATATTTCATGTTTGAATATAGAGAAATTAGATTTGTTGCAAGTGCCACACTCACAACAAACATACAGACAAATTACTTTGTGGGGCCCACCATGGGTGGCGGGTCTCACAATTAAGTAGACGGTGTCTATTGCAACTATGGATCGGTTGCATCAAATAGCAAAATTCTTGAATATATGTATTAATGTATTTAAAATTTGTAAAAATTTAAAGAGCTTCTATAAACAGATGTATTTATCTTACTGTGATATTTTTAAACGAAATGAGTATATATTAAATGGTCCACGGTGTCATCCCTAGTACCCACCCATAACAAATTGTCGTGCTACCTCCCATCTATGATTTTTGAACCAATGGTTACAAGTAATTAATTTTGTTTGTGTTAGTTATGTTTCTTTACTTGCGTGCCATAATGTGATTGGTAAGAATTATACAATAATTTATGGGGTTGATTAAGGAAACATGCCCCAAAACCCAAGGGACCCACCTAGCTAGCTCATTGTGATGTCACTGATGTGTGATACAGTACCAATCCCATTGGCTTCAAGGCTTACAGCTCATACTACAGTTTTGGGAGGGTTTGATCACACCCTCCATCTTATGTCCCAAGATGTGCTCTTAATCAGCAGAAACCAATCTAAATTGGAATGACCAAGCACCAATCAATTATTGCCACATTAGCAACAATAATAGAGTGGGACCAAAAAAGATACCTGATAACAAGATTAAAAAGGGGCTCATTTTAATCAAGATATTTGTGGTAAGCTTATCTAGTTGCATGATGGGATTATATCACGTAATGAATCCAATCATGCTTTATATTGGGTTCGCTGGCATGGGAGAACACTATTGGGGCAACTACAACATAAAGGGCTAGAGCCAACCCACTTCCACAGTCCTTTTGATGGCATTATGGGGATTTCATAGTTTTCTTTTCTGTTTTGGGTCCCATTTGAACTTTTGAAATGCTGACGTGTAATCGCATTTTGATCATTCCCTCCAGTGGTGTAGATGTATGATGATGAATCGGACGGTGGAGGAGAAGATTAAAAGGAAATGATGTATTACTTCTACTCTGGGTGAATGGGTTTTGTTTTAATTTTTTTTCTAATAAATCGACTAATCAAGCTCTATAATTCTTGTTTTGCAAACTAATCAAGTGAAGTAATTAATTTATTTTAATTATTAAAAAAGATAATAATAATTTTTATTCCAAAATTCTCAAAATAAATTTTAGTTGCCAAACATGTTTTGTTCTCCTTTCAGAACACTGCACTACACAACACTTATTCTATTTTAAACTAAAACATTACACTACACCATGTAACACTTCCCAAACAGGCCCTTACTCTAAAATGGGAACTCCATTTGATTCTGATGAGTTGACCTGTCAGCCGTCATTTCACAATTGTTTTTTATCCTTGTTTTTTGCGATTGCGTGGCGTTATTATGTTGTGTACGTACTGTCCACCTTCACACCACAGGTGACAATGGTGACGTACCCTCAATTATGGGATAAATAAAGTGACCGAGATAGACTACTATTTGCGATGAGGACGGCTCTTCTTGAGTCTTGAACGACAATCCATAAAATAAAAATAAAAATAAAAGTAAAATAAAAAACTAAAATCAAACTATCATAATAAATAAATAAAACAAATATTCATATTAATTGATATTTTTATTGAGTACAATGCAACTTAAATGTAAAATTTAATTGCAATTGGATTGCAAAATTTTGAATTGCAAATTAAAATAAATGAATTTTGTTTTTATTAATTTTATCATATATAATTACAGGAAGAGAATATTTGATACACGAAACGAATTTAAAGACAATGAAAATTATAGTTCTCGGTAGAACTAATGATTCATCACAAGTCTGTGCAGAGAGAGCCGCCTGACCCTACCTATGCTCCAACCTATTTTTTATATATATATATATTTGCTATATACATATATTTATATGGTAATTTTAAAAAGTATTCTTCAAAAATTTTCAAATTCCTCTAATTTTCTTTTGAAAAATAAAATTACATATATCCCCTTCTTGAAGTACACCATATATTTTTCCTTTTCCTTTTCTAATTTTTGTTTTCTTTTTCAAACTTTTTCTTTTTTCACTTATGTATAAATTATGTATTGTACCATTTTTTCCTTTTCTTTCTTTTTATCGATGACATTTGTGATTATATTTAATTAAAATATTATTAATTAATATTTTGATTCTTATATTTGTCAAGTATATTTTTGTTTACATACTTATTTAACATATTATTTTACAACTAATTTTTTTTTTCCTTTAGATTTTAAAAAATTATATTTGTCATACTTGTTATTTATTTATTTTTGCATTGTGCCCCTCCCCCTGAAAATACAATCCTAACTCTGCCCCTGCCAGCCTACATTGAATATTATCATATTACTTAAGTCTAATTTCTTGATGGTCATATTCAATGTTAACGTGATGATGCACCTATTAAAAAATAAAAAATAAAAAAAAAATATTTGTTTGTTTAGAAAGATTGTGGGGAAGAGGCCATCCAAAGATTACGTAGGATGAAGTAATTAAAAATGACTTCAAAAATTTAAATCAAAGAGAAAATATGGTGCATAATAGGAAATTAAGACTAAAAAAGGGAATTCATGTGATCGATTCAACCTATATAGAATAAAGAAAGATGATGGTGGTGGTGGTGATAAGAGAAAATGAATGAAAAAAAGAAGAAGCAAGAAGACAAGATAGAGAGAGATATATAATGTGTGATATGAAATTAAAGTTGATGAATAGTTATTGTTTTCTTTTTACAAATAATTTTCGATGTGTTTGGTTGCATAGAATTAGAGTTTTGGAATTGGAATTGATTGATAGAATTGAAAAAAAATAAAATAAATTAGTTCAATTTTTTGAGTTACTTTTCTTTGATTTCACTAATTACAATTCCAAAACTCTAATTTCATGCAACCGAACACCCATTTCATCATCCTTTTCCCCAAAACCTTCAATTCATTGTTTGTATATACACAAACACACACACATACATATTCGTAAAGAAATAAATAGAGAATTAAAGATGTGCGATTGGAGCAGGATGCGCATGTTTTGCTCATCGTGATCAGTTTGTTGTTTAAGGAGTTGTATCATTACAAAGGCGGAATTCAATTAGTTAATGATACTATATTTATTGTGATTACTTATGTGAATGGGTGTGAGACACAGGCGGGCTACCACACTTGCAGGTTACGAGTGTCATGATCCCACATCGTCTGCGGAAGGTGAAGTGTTATATGGAGGCTTAACACCCTTTTATAACACAACGCATTTTAAAGTCGTGAACTCATTAGAACTCTACAATTAAGTGTGCTTATATAGGAATAGTACCAAGATAGGTGATCCTCCTAGGAAGTTTGGTCGGGAAGAGCCAAAAACCGACAATATTGTGTCGAGTGGGATGAAGGCTGTTACAAATGGTATTAAAGTCGGAACCTAGCCGAAAGTGTGGTTAACAAGGATGTTTGGTCCCATGGGAGTGATTATAACGACCTCTGTGGGTTGGTACGAGACACTGAGTGAGCTATCATACTGGCAGGCTACGAATATCCTAATCCCGTATCGCCTGGGGAAGGTGATGGTGAAGTGTTATATGTAAGTTCAATACCACATAGCTTGGGAAAGGTGAAGGAAGGTGATGTTGAAGTGTTATATGTAAGTTTAATACCCTTCTATGACACGATACATTTTAAAGTTATGATTGCCGTGAACCTATCAGAACTTTGTATTTTAAGCGTGCTTATGCCGGAGTAGTACTATGAACCTCTTGGGACGTCTGGTCCGGGGGAGCCAAAAGCAAACAATATTGTGTCAAATTAATAAATAAATAAAAATTCTGAACGAGCAAAACTTATCAAGTTATCCCAAACCTATGACTGACCCGTTAAATGGGTTGTGAAGTGTCAAATTTGACCATGATATTTAATATTAAATTAAAAGCTATAATTTTTATTTTAAATTTACAAAAATGCCCATTTATAATAATATTATTTAATGTTAATTAGATTGTTATCTCACTAGAGATCAATGACCCATTTCTCGCCCCTATCATTATTTTCGTAATTTTAAAATAATAATTATAACTTTTAATTTAATATTACATAATAAGGTCAAATTTGACATTTTACAATCCATTTAACTAGTCAGACACCTATTTGGGATAACTTGATAAGTTTTGTCAATTCAATGACTTTTTTAATTTTACTAGAATTTTATGCACAATTTTAATAATAGAGGAGGGTTTTATGAGTTTAACCCTAAATAATTTTCTATAGTTGGGCAGATAAGGTACTTCTGTTATTATTATTATGTTTTTTTCTATTCATTTGCTGAATTTTGTTGATTAGAGGGTGCATTTTTGGTGGTGCTGCCCTGATATGAATTACCCAAGTTCCAAACATTGATCAACATTAGCATGACTCATTGTAAAAGTAGTTATTTAGTTTTGTGTTTCATATTAAATAAATTGTCCTTGCGGTGACATTTTTCTCTCAACACAAATTTAATTAATT